GAAGTAGTGTTTGAGCCTCCTCGCTGCGTTAACGAGGGCTAGAGATACCTTTTCTATTTGTTGATATCTCGCCTCCGAGCCTTGCTCGTGAAATAAATTGGTCTTCGTCCCTCTAGAGTTTCTCTAATCAGTGTCGTTCTTATCGCCTCGGAGGCGACAGTCAGATAGAGGTAGAAGACCTCATCTTTCTCGGGTCGAGAAAGGACGAGAGGCTGTGATAGACCTCGTTTTAAGTGAATGAGGGCTCACTCTCATTCGGGTGTCCATTCGAAGGAAACTTCCTTGCGGAGGAGTTTGAACAGGGGAAGCGTGTGCTGGGCGGATTTTGCCACGAATCGAGAGATAAAAGTGAGCATGTCGTTTAGGATTTGGATGGACTTTTTTGAGGTGGGCGTCAGAAATTTGGAAAATGACTGACATTTGTCGGGGTTTGTTTCAATGCCTCATTCTGTTAGGTAGAATCCGAGGAACTTGCGTACCCGTACACCAAAGGTACATTTTTCCAGGTTGAATTGCATCTGGCACTTACGAGCTTGTTCAAACACTTTCTTTAAGTGGAGGACATGGTCGAGCTCTTCCGTGGACTTGAAGATCATGTCATCCATATAGACTTCGAGCATGTCGCATATATCATTGCGGAAAACATTGTTTATCATGCACTGATATGTAGCGCCCGTGTTTTTTAGGCCGAAGGGCATTACATTGTAGTAATAGTTGCCCGATTTATCATGAAAATGGTGTATTTTTTATCCGTTTTAGCCATTGGGATCTGGCTATAACCAGAGTATGCGTCCATAAATGATAGTAATTTGAAACCGGCCAAGTTATCGACCAATTTGTCAATATTGGGGGAGGGCATAAGCATCTTTCGGGCAAGCCCGATTGAGATCAGTATAATTAATAAACATGCGCCACTTTCCATTAGATTTATTCACAAGAACTACATTTGAGAGCCAAGTTGTGTACTGGACTTCAGAAATAAAATGTGCCTCTAGGAGGTCTTTTACAGCTAGTTATGCAGCCTCTGCTTTTTCGAAGGACTGTTTTCTTCTGCGCTAGGCGATCTCCTTGAGGGCAGGATCTATAGTCAAGTGATGGCATGCAACTCCTGAATCTAATCCGGGCATCTTGGTTGCACTCTAAGCGAATAGATCAACATTCCTCCTTAGGCAAGCTTTGAGTTACCTTTTTTCCAAGTCGGGGAGGTCGGCTCCAATCTTCACTCCTCCGGTGGGATCTTCTCCGAGGGGAACAAGCTCGAAGTCATCGTCCGAAATTGGCCGTGCGTGACTCGAGAGTTCATCGCGATCTATAGAGGAGGTCGATCCTTTGCCTTCGACCATGGGCGTATTTCCATTCTTTCTTTGCTCGGCACGATCTTCCTTGAAGAAGCGATTGTCAAGATCGACGGTGTCGACCCTCGACAGTGGCTTGACTTCCTCGGAGCTTGAGGGTAGTGCGGCTCCGGTGGTCATTCGAGGTTGACCGTTGATGGAACTGAGGCTCCTAGATGAAGCTTCAAAACACCTTTTTGCTGCTTGGATATACCCGTGGAGGGTGGATACCAAACCTTCGACGGTGTAGTACTTCATTTTGAGATGAACGGTGGAGGGAACCACGATGAGTTCGGCGAGAGTGGGTCTCCCAAAGATGCACTGGTAGAGAGACGAGCAATCCACCACCAGGAATTGGGTCTTGACGGCTCTAGTCTTTACCCCTCTCCCGAAGGTGACGCTCAGCTCGACATATCCTCAGGGTTTCGTGATGGCTCCATTGAAACCCTAGAAGTATGATCCTACGTACGGGGTTATATGGCTTTCATTTAGCTGCAAGATGGTGAACAGTTGAGTGTACATGATGTCCACCGAGCTTCCTTGATCAGCCAGTATGCGTTGTACGTTGAAATTTGCCATACAGACTCTCACGAGTAGTGGGATGGTCGAATTCGTGGCTCTGCCTGGCAGTTCCTCCCTGTAGAAAGCGAGGGGATGAGAGCCTCCTCGGAATTTGTCCAGCGTGGCGTCCATGTCCGAGTTAGCTTCGATGAGCTGGTTGAATCTTCTTTTTACCAACCCAACTGTGTGCTAGTTGAATCCCCCGCCGGAGATGACCATGGTCGTGGGGAACGATTCCCAAGGACTATGGGAGGAGAAGTACAACGGGACATTCTCCATGTCCGAGTAGTAGAAATCTTCTGGTCGCGAGATGCTTATGGCGACTAGTATGGTGTCGATGTCGGGGGACTCCTTCCCCTCTTCGATGTTTTTAGTTTCTGGTGCTTCTTCGCGGGCGTCCTCCTTCTTCTTGTATTATTTGAGGTGCCCATCTCAAATCAGTATTTCGATTGCATCCTTCAGATGAATGCAACCCTCGGTGTTATGCCCGTGGATTTTGTGGAACCTGCAATATTTGCTCTTGTCGGTTCCCTGTTTGGAAGGTGTTTGTCGGGGGAAGTTCACCCCGGCCTGCTTAAATTCGGAATTGGCGCATTCAGATAGAATACGCTCCCTTGAGGTAGTCAGAGGAGTGTAGTCGTGGAAATGACCAGCTGGCCCCTTGTATTCCTTGGAGTCCTGGGACCTGTCTTCCCGTTTCTTTTCTCCCCGACGGGATGTCGAGGGTTCTTCGTTCTTTGAGGTCTTGGTACTCTCCCTGTGCCTCGATTCCCTAGCACTGTTAGTGGCTTCCTTCTCCTTGTATTAGATGTATGTCTGGGCCTTGAGGAGGAGGGAGTCGAGCGTGACTGGTGATTCAATTCCCACAGCTTTGGAAAAGTCACTGCGGGGACAGAGCCTGCGCTCGAGGAGATATTTCTTTATGTTATCGGTCGTGGAGGCCTGCACTGCTTCCATGTTGAAGCTCTCGATATATGCCCGCGGAGATTCATCTCTGCCTTTGATGATTGCTTTGAGCGAAGCCTCCGACTTTGGGTGTCGACGAGAAGCGGTGAAGTTCCTCGAAAATATCCTCCCAAGCTTCTTCCAGGAGGTGATAGACTCGTTCGGAAGACTCTTGTACCAAGACATTGATCCCTTCCTAAGACTGGTTGGAAACAATATGCACTTTATGGTCCATCTGACTCCTCGATAATAGAGGAGAGCGTCGATGTTCTCAATATGTTCGTTGGGGTCCGTCGTTCCATCGTAGGTTCCCAACGGAGGTGACTTCTCCAGGCCGACAGGGACTTGGGCTTTTGTAATTTCCCTTGCTAGCGGGCCGCGGGGCTCGTCGTCTTCACTATCCGCGAGGGACGAAGAAGGGGAGTGATAATTTCTACCCCGTCGATCATCGCGGTCTCGTTGGGGGAGGGACTCCTCTGTTTTTGTCTTGGTTCGGGTGAAGGTAACCGAGTGTCGTCGATTTGACGGTCGTCTTTCCTCTTCTTGGATAAAGGAGAGTCTTTTGATCTTTCGTGAGAGGTGTGCGATTGTGTTTCTTGAAAAAAGAGACGTCACGCTTCTCCTTTCTTGGTGGAAGGCCACACCTGGGTGGAGATATGTTGGGGGAGTCTCGTCGTCGGGTTCTCCCAGGGGGAGGCTTTGACTGCTTCTTCTCCCAAACCCATATCCTTTGGTTCTGCTGCAGGATAAAGGCGTTTGTCTGGTTGATGGCAACGAGCAACACTGTAATGGTCGGGTCGGCGCTGAGAGGGATGGGAACTGGTTACAGAATCTTTGGCAGTTCTTCGGTGGAATTCTTGGGATGTCCCTTGTCCAAGAATTAGTTATCGCTGTGTCGGGCGTCCGTTGAATCTGGAGACGCAGTCTGGCCGTCTCAGAAACCTAGGTTGTCCTCGAGGTGAGGATGATCTGCAGTCCGGATGTGGTGTCGAGGAGGAAAAAAAGGGAGTTGTACCTGCAACGCACTCCGACGATCAAGTAAGAGTGGGAGCAAAGAGATACAAGCAAAGTGTTAAGGTATTAGTGGTGAATAGTGAATATTCGATATCTGGCCCTCACAAGTGTGAGGGTTTATATAATGCCCCTGATGCATGGCCATTGATTCATGTTTTTGGGTATGGATATGCGGGTCCACAAAAATAGGTAATTGTCAGGACTTGGTCAAACCGGGAAGATGTGCATGTAACTAGCCGTTGGTTCTGAGGAGGAAGTTAGTTACGGGCAGCAGTCTGGTCGGTTCTTGGTTGTCTGCACGACTTGAGGTCGGGAAGACTGAGAGGTGTTCGTCGATCATCTTAGGTCAGTGTCGGTTTGGGAGGGCAAATGGTCGATATTACCCGACGGAGAGCGGAGGAGGTTTGGACCATGGACGTATGGACCGTACCGAAAGAAAGGGTTAGACTGGACCCATTCTAGTTGTCGGGCCAGTCCAAAACACTACTCTACACAGTTCAATCCACTATCAATAGTTTCAAAGCGAGATGAAGATGATATCAAAATTATCAATCACAGAATATTGCAGTTTGTTCAAATTCCACTACATTAGTGTAATAACGTGTCTATAGTCACTAATTGTTACTCCTTCCGTCTCAAAATAGTAGTCGTTTAAGGTTGTTACATGAAGATTAAGAAAAGTAATGATTGAGTCAATAAAAGTAACATCTTTACAAAATTAGTCTTTATTATTATTAGTTGTAGTACATTGTCATACTTGAAAAGAGTGTATACAAGAGATAAAATTGGTAAAAATTAATAATAATTGCATTGAAAAAGTAAAGAGACTATTATTTTGAAACAACTTTTTAAGATTAGAAAGACAAATATTTTGAGATAGAGGGAGTAAGACATTGTAGCTTGTATTAAATTATGTATTGTAGAACAATAGCGGCTAGTTAAAATTAAACTAAGCTATAGCTGTTATTTGACATGACATAGATAACATATTCAGACATTTGTTTGTGATCATTGCAAGTGCTGGCTGGTATGTCAAAATCCAATATCATTACAATCTACAACACAAGCCTATTAAGGAACGTGTAGACGCTATTAATGTAGACTCTGTCTCTGACACTCACTCCCATGTTTCAGATTTCTTACATGTCAATGTTTTCTTTTCGGCAAATTAAGCCAAGAATAATGACTGGAACATCAGGACAAGAAGAACTTTCAATCAAAACATAGTTGAGGCTATGGCCTCCGTAAATGATCTACTTTTTCATTATATTCATCAACCAACTATACAATATGAGGTGCTTCATATTCTACTTGCTTTGTTCCCACTTCCAAAACAAGTAATAAATAAAATACAAACATAGAGTGAATAATTTAAAAACCATAGGAATCCAGCAGAAGAATCCAAGACATGCCTCCAGAAAGTAGGACAAAACCTGTGTTCTCCTTCAAAATGTAAGAAAGCAGAAAGGAGAAGAATCATAGATAAGGGTTGAATGATGGATACAGTTGAGCTTCCTGGACAGAAAATTGTAGAGTAATTTCTTTCGTTCTTCAGCTTACAAAATCCACATGGTAAATTGAAGCTAACAGGAAACTAAAATTATGTATGAATAACTACAATAAAAAAGCCGAACTCACTCTCAAAGATTTCTGCAAAGCTTGCAAATGCACGCCTTCTTAAAACAAAGCTCGTAGCTCCATATGAAAGTCTGAGGCTGAACTGATACAGATAAAGATCCCGATAACCTTGTAAGCAATGTCATAGAAATAAGCAATAAACAAAAGAAAGAAATAACAGAGACGTGCATTAGTTGCAACTATTTTATAAAAAATCATTGCCATAAAAATTGATGGTATAAAAAAATAGATATCAAGCATCCCAACAAAAGTAACAAAAGCAAACTAAACCAGCAAGAAAATAGAAGACTTCTTCCATTGTATTTATTGAATCTTTTGAATCCACTAATGCATTTTTATTGAGCCTTCATCCTATTCCTCAGCCAAAAGAAGAAAAAAAACAGTAAAAAAGTAAAACATTACAAAGTATATTATAGAAAATTGTATTCTACTCCAGAAGTATGGGCATGGCTATGTTTGGGAGCAAAAGAAGGAGAGAAAAAACTAATAGTAAGGCTTGAACAAAGCAATTTTGTCATCACCAATAATCCCCACAAGAACAACTCCCATTTTTAAAATGGTGAAATCTACTAGCATCTCTTAACACAATTTCACGTCCTGTAACCTTGGTTATAAGTTTGATTGCATTATGGCAGTCACCACACACGCGGTGGCTCTGTATAATTCGCAAAGGTGACCAATCTGGAGTCTTGATGATACCAAAAGCTATTGCAAGCTTTTCACTGTGATACTTTATAACACGTTGTTCCTCTTCATCCACATCAGGTAGCAACGTTTCTTTCTCCATAACATAACCATGTCTTGATATCTCCACCATCATGCTGTCTACTTTTTTGTATATTTCTTTAATTTGCGGGTGAGATTTGTCTCCAAAAAGGAAAGCATATGGTTGTTTATTAACTTCAACCCAGCTACATGCCGGAAGGATTCTTAAACCTTTTCTCTTTAAGGTTTGCAAAACACCAGCAGCTTCTTTCAATTTGCCAGAATTGTTGTATAGATTCAGAAGCACAACATAATTACACAGCTTTTCAGGTTTCATACCATAAAGCTTTTCGGCCGCAAACGTCCCGAGCTCCAAATTATCGTGCATTCTGCATGCTGTCAGCAATGCTGCCCACATATTTAGGGTTGGTTTGAAAGGAGCCTTTCTTACCAGTGCAACAGCATCGTCTAATAAACCCTCTCGACCTAATAGTTCAATGATACACGCATAATGCATTGCTCGAGGCTTAACATTGTGATCTCTACTCATAGACTGAAAAATCTCCCAACCGCTTTCTGATAATCCTGAATAGCTACAAGCAGATAAAACAGCAAGGAAAGTGACATGAGTTGGAATTATATTTTCTTGAAGCATTTTCTCAAACATTTGTACTGCCTTTTCTCCCTGACCGTGATTACCATATCCACCAATCAATGCATTCCAACATATGATATTCTTGCGACGCATCTTGTCGAAAACATGTTGCGCGTCTTTCATCCTTCCCCATTTGCTATAGAAGTCAACGAGCGAAGAGTTCGCCACCAAATCTGTGCCGAAACCACGGCGAACTAACGCAGCATGAGCTTGTTTCGCATGTTCTAATAACGCCAATCTCGCACAAATTCTTATTACTGTCGAAATAGTGAAATGGTCGATTTTAGCACCACTATCACGCATCTCGTAGTAAATACCAAGAGCTTCCTCACTATAACCTTGAAGTGCATAACTAGCAATAATGGTATTCCATCCAACAGTCGTCTTCTGCGGCATTTGATCAAAAACACGTTGAGCATCTTCAATGCTACCAGACTTGCTGTACATGTCAATCAGTGAACAATCTACAAATTGATCTCCATCCACTGCCCTTTTCAAAATACATGTATGAATTTGCTTTCCAATCTCTATACTCCCCAATCCAGCCGACGCGCGAATCATAGTCGCAAAAGTGCGAGATTTTCCATCATTAAGTTCTTCCCACATACACAAAAACAGCTCAAAAGCCTCAGAATACTTCCCCGTGTCCACAAGTCCGCCAATCATGACCATCCAAGAACTCAAATCTCTCTCAGGCATATCTTCAAACAGCTTCCGTGCATCGTGCATAAGAAAACATTTCACATGCATAGACAAAACCCTATTCATCATATACAAATCAAGCTCAAACCCACTATTCTTCATATGATTAAACACCCTCTTAACACCTCTAATGAATCTCAAACCAATACAAGCACTGATCAAAGCATCATAAGTACTAGCACCAACACAAGAATCACCATATTCAAGTTCCAATATCTCAAACAATTCCATTGCCTCCATATACTTATTACTCAAAACCAATTTCTCAATCTGACTACATAATCCAGAAGAGGATAAAGATCTCCTGTTTATCATAGGTTCAACCAAAACCACCTCTTTTTCATCAAACACATTTTTCATCTTTGGTTTCGGACGTAACCCTTGTTCCAATTTGGAATAACAACAAATCTGAGAAATGGGTTTGCTCCAATGTCTCAACTTTGATGCAAAACAACAGTTATTTCTAGGATTTGAAGAAGATGAACCTAGAAAGGAAAAGGAACGAAACGGATCTAAAGAGAAAGTTTCCATTGGTACTATTGTTAACAATAATAACAAGCGTTGTTTTTGAGGTTAGTGGTATATGAATGAGAGGGTTTAAATATGAAAGAAGAATAAAAGTGTGCATGATCAGTTCAATTTGCATCAATTTCTCCGTCCAAATTGTTGTTGAATGATTCACCCAACAAAGAAGCAAATGTAATGTTACACTCCAATGCTCCTTGTGGGTCCGCCTCCCAAAAGTCTACAAAAAAATAAATAAAGCGGGTGAGTATAGTTGAGGGTGAGTGTCTAAAATTTAAATCCGTCCCGTAAAAAGTGAATGTGGGATGGAGAAAGTCCGTAGAAACTGCATCTTTTAAACTTAAAAATATAAAATTTTATGTTAATAATCACCCGCAAAAAAAATGGGACAGGATGAGACGATCACATTAGAGAATGGGGATCTAAACTGCGGGTAAAACGTAAATGTCCAAAGAACCAGACTCATTTTGACACTCCTAATTGAAACCACAAATCTCACATAATGTCATTTAATTAATGCATTTGTGATAGTAATAATTTCAATATTTTATACCGTCCCTTTTAATCTTTCTATTTTCACCGTATTGCAATTTATGATTTACATTATACTAGTAATTTATTCACAGTCATCTCTCTCTCTCTCTCTCCGACACTTTTTCTTCTAAATCTTATGTTATCTTACTCTCAGTTTCTCTCTCTCACTTCTATTACTTCTTTTAAGTGTATGTTTGGTTTCAATTCTAAAAGGGGATAAAAGCACTTTTGAAGTGCAGAATTGATTTTAACATGTTTGGTTCTATTAAAGTAGAATTGATTTTGTCTCCAGAATTGATTTTACTTGAAGCTATAATTTGTAGTTTTTGCCTCCAGAATTGATTATGGGAGATTTTTACATTGAAATTTGTTGTTTAACTCGCTTTTACATAAATATATCCAAATATAAATCAATTATGTTAAACTCAATTATGTTAAAATCAATTTTACCAAACTCAATTATGCTAAAATCAATTATGTCCACTGCCAATCCAAACGCACACTAAACCTGTTATCTTACTCATAATTTTTCTCTCTCACTTCTCCAAAGATTTGTCTTTTATTGTTCTGACCATTTGCAAGCACCTCTTAAAAGCTCATTTCTTAACAAGACTATAGTTTCAAGAAAGAAAAAGAAATGAATCTTGCTTCAACTCTGCTCAAGATATGTAGATCTACCCAAGTATTAATATATTATTCAAATACAAGGAAGTCAAGCCTCAACTATGATGAGATCTGATTCAAATGAGAGACTTTGTTGTCTTTCTGTTTATTTTAAGATTTAAAGTTTGATTTTCTATTTGTTTTTTGAGATTGTATATAATACTATTGGTGTTTGATGATATAATGGTAAAATTTATGAACTCTAATGTTTAGTGGCTTAAATTTTTCTAACGGTAATTTTTAAGGTTTTTTGTTTACTTCAGTGCGCTTCAAACCACCCATGTAACTTGTGTTTAGTTCAAACCGCTATCCGTTATAACCTAAAGTCGAATTGGTCGGAAATGGATTCGTTTTTATCATCCGTGGTTATGTTTGGATTGATGTTTTCGGTTCGATTTCGACCCTACCCATCCGTTTGTCTACCCCTAACTTCAATGATCAGTTAATAGAAACAAAAAGTGTGAGATTTAGTGCATGTTCAGTTTGGGTTTTGGAATGGCCAAAAGCAATTCTAGAGGTGTAGAATTGATTTTGGGTGATTTTGTCTCTAGAATTGATTCTACTTGAAGCTAAAATTTGTAGATTTTGCTTTCAGAATTGATTCTGGATAATTTTTACACTAAAATTTATTGTTCAACTGACTTTTACATAAATGTATCCAAACATTAATCAATTTCACCAAACTCAATTCTAATAAAATAAATTCTATCAAACTCAATTCTGCTAAAATCAATTATGTTCACCGCCAATCCAAACACACCCTTAGGCTATGTTTGGGAGTTTGGAGGGGAAGGGAGGAGAGGATTTTGAAAAATAGGAAGAATTGGGTGAAAAAAGTAGAAAGATTTTGCTTATGAGGGTTTTGGAGGGTTTGTTTTTCTTCATAACACTAAAAACCCTCTAATTTGGAGCAACTCAAAATTTATATTTGGAAGAGGGTTTTTTAGGGCTTAATCAATTTGTTCAAATATAATTTTTATTGTTATAGTATTTCAAAAACTAAAAATACATTAATGATAAACATTATTTTATCATTCTAAACAAAATCTTTTTTTTTAAATGTTAAAAATTTCTTTATATTTTTTATAAAAAAAATTGGAAGCCCTCTCTTCCCCTCCCCTCCAAACTCCTAATCATAACCTTAAGATTTTTGAATAATGTGTATTGTTAGAATAATATAGCAAGTGTGGGTAAGTGGAGAAATAATCTCACATTAGATAGGAATGTGGAGACTTAAGCATATATAAGTGAGAGAACTCACACACCTATCACCTTAAGGTTTTAGGTTGACAAGTGGCGTGTCTCTCACAAAGGTGCTTATTCCTACACTATATATCGATGATCCTAGTAACTCCCCACAACATGGTATCAGAGATTTTGGTTCGAGAAAGGGACCAGAAGAATGAATGAGCATTATGGATTCACACTTGAGGGGTTGTGTTGAAATGATATAGCAAGTGTGAGTAAGTGGTAAAATAGTCCTACATTAGATAGGAATATGGAGACTTAAGCATATATAAGTGAGAGAACTCACATACCTATCACCTTAAGGTTTTAGGTTGATAGGTGGTATGTCTCTCACAAAGGTGCTTAATCCTACAATATGTATCGATGCTCCTAGTAACTCCCCCCAATATGTATTTGGTTTCAAACCTTTCTCGAGGACACTTGTCTTATAGGACACGTGTTAGAAGATTTTGTAAACTCTTCAATCAAATGATATACAAGGATTAATTATCTCTAATGATGTGTATTTTGAAGGTGTGTCCAATTCTTGATCCAGAGATGCTAAAACTTTCTGTTATATAGTTCTCTTGAAGGACATATGCTAGAGGATCTTGTGTGCATATAAGTCTTGGTGGTCAATGATTTTATGTTTGAACTTCAAACTTATACCACTTTTTTTGTCATAACTTATACCATGTTATTCGATGGTTCATAGTTTAGCTAGGACAGTCAATTTTTGATTTATGCGTATGATTCTACATATAATTTCTTCATGTATTGAATTTTGTTTGAACAATGATATGAATTAAATTTGTTTTGGTAAAAAAAAAACCTTATACCATGTTATTTATAATAAAATGTTCTTCTTTATTATGTTTGTATCAAAGTAATAAAGTTTATAGAACAATTAATCTATTTAATATAACATTAAATGAGTCTTAAATGTAATATATTATTAAATATAAGGATGAGATTCTTAAATATTTGTAGTTAATTCTTACAATTAAATGAGATGACAATGACTTATAAAGATTATTATGTTAATAGACTGATGATTATATCTTATAGCTCATAGTTCACATTAGTATAAATATTCAATTATATATATATATATATATATATATATATATATATATATATATATATATATATATATATATATATATATCACTACAAGAAAATTAGGATTTTACGACACAAAAATTGCGACAGTTACTTAATAACCGTCGTAATTCTAATATAGGGACCCATGTCACGACGGTATACACCTACCGTCCTTACATATTTAAAAAAATATTAAATATCGCGACAATTTTTCATTAAACCGCCCTAAAATGAATGTTGTGACGGTTAAGAAACCGTCCTAAAATAGACATCACGACGGTAAAACAACCGTCGCCCCCCTAAACCTTTAAAAAACATGCAAAAGTTATGAAAGGGCACGACGGTAACCACACCCGTCGTCCCCCTAAATCCTTTACCCCGCTTCGTCTATTTCTCTTTTTATTTATTGTTCACGTATCTTTCTCCAAATTTCTTCATACTTTTGCTTTTTCTCTGTACAAACTTCAACCACATCAATTCGATGAGAACCTTAAGAAGCTTCGATGGCTTCCCTTTAAATTTGAGCAACTTCTATGGTGGCTGCGCTATTCTTCTTCTTCTTCTTCTTGTTACTTTATTGTTTCTTCTGAACCGTAAGAGCAGATCCTTGTTGGCGTCCTCTTTGATCTCCGATTCTAGCAATTTAAACCCAAGGTCTACTACTCTACTTTATTCATTTTATTTTCGTTCAATTTCATACGCTTTACTGAAATTGGGGCTTTTTAGGGTTTACAATTGCAGAACCTCAAACACTGTCACTGATGCTGATTTGAAGTTTTTAATGGATGAAATTCTAAATCAGAACCATAAATGGGAGGATGTCATAGATAAAACAAATCATCATCTATGCTACAAAGCTAAATCCACCAAACCTAAGGTTAAACTCTCCACTCACTATCGCTCATACCTTTCCTGCTTCTTTTCAACTATCTAAGACATGAAAAACTAATACTTTAACTAGACACCCGCTGAAGAACTTGTTGTCCTTGGATGTTGCAGAATGGTCCCCTGAAATATTGGAGTATGACTGTGTTCAATGATATTTCCGCCGAGATGCTAAGAAACTTCTACATGGACAATCACTACAGAAAGCAATGGGATAACACTGTGGTCGAACACAATCAGCTGCAGCTGGATGAATCTGATGGTTCTGAAGTTGGTCGTACAGTTAAGAAAATAGTGTGTTTTGTTTCTGTATGTTGTTATGAATCGCAATAGCTTAACATGGTTTTCTCTTTTTTGCCACTGTTTCAGGGTCAGACTCCATTGTTTCCTCGTATTTTTGGTCATGAAGCTGGAGGGTATATGCTTCTCTTCTGATAAAATGTCTTGATTATTTAGTGTATCAGTAATTTAGTATGTAATGTGAATGAATGATGTTTATCAGGATCGTGGAGAGCGTAGGTGAAGGTGTGACTCATCTGAAACCAGGGGATAAAGCCCTGCCTGTATTCACAGGGGAGTGTGGTGAATGTCCACATTGTAAGTCAGAGGAGAGCAACATGTGTGATCTTCTTAGGATCAACACTGACAGAGGTGTCATGCTCAATGATAACAAGTCTAGATTCTCTATCAATGGAGAGCCCATAAACCATTTCGTGGGCACCTCTACATTCAGTGAGTACACAGTGGTTCATGCTGGATGTGTTGCAAAGATCAATCCTGAAGCACCACTTGACAAAGTTTGTATTCTCAGTTGTGGAATATGCACAGGTATATATATACAAGATCCCTAGCTTCAGATATTTATATATTACCAGGCTTGGTCTGTGATTTCCTAATTCAATTTGCATTGATGCTTATAGGTCTTGGTGCTACTGTGAATGTTGCAAAACCAAAGCCAGGTTCTTCAGTTGCTATCTTTGGGCTTGGAGTTGTTGGCCTTGCTGTATGTTATTACTCTTATATCTTTGTCTGCATGTGTGTGTTGCATTGCAGCTATGATTGGAAATGAAATGAGACAATATTAATTTTTGCTCTTCTTTTTTAACCATAATGTAGGCTGCTGAAGGTGCAAGGATCTCTGGTGCATCAAGAATCATTGGAGTTGATTTAGTTTCCAGCCGATTTGAATTAGGTACAACACTTTCTGTGTTCCATCTAATGATTTAAGATTTTGGTCAACAACATAAATTCAAGGACACAAAAAGTTGGAAGCTGATTCACGTTCTCAATTTAAAGTTTATTTCTTTTCAAATTTCTTATATTAATTATTTTACTGATAATTGGATAAATTGGCTCCTTGCAGCTTGACTTCCAGCTTCCTGATCGTTTTAAGTTGGAATTCTCAACTGAGGATGAAGCCAAAATTGAGAGGCCTGTTATGATACACAGCCATTCTAGGATCAGTTGAACGCATGTTTGCCATACTTTTAGAGCACTACAAGGGTAAATGGCCCTTCTGGCTCAGTCCTCGTCAAGCAATTTTGTGCCCTGTTTCTGAGAAATCACAAGCTTATGCTCTGAAGGTACACATCTCTGTTTCCTAACTTTAGTCTGTCTATATTTATCGAAGTCATATGATAACAGTTAGGATGGGGTGATGATGTGTACAATTGCATCAAATCCTTGAACCAATTTGTTTATTTTGAGTCGCAACAAGCCTTTTTAGATATACTTTTTATGTGGTAGCTTCTTCATGACGGGTTGATACCGTTGTAAAGCATGTATTTGCTACGTATTTGCTACTCAGGTGTAAATGTTGATGAATTATTGCTACGGGAAGTACACTATCTTCACCAAGTTATTTAAATAAGCATTATAGGCTGTGTAAATGTTTTTTTTTACTTTCCGATGCATGTAGCTTTGTAACATCTAATGTATTTTGTCACCAATTATGGAATCACCTAGTTTAATGCTTATTGAGTTAGATACTAATTTCTACAAGCTTATATCGTCAATCACCTAGTTTAATGCTTTATTGAGTATTTGAGTTAAATACTAGTTTCTATAAGCTCATATCATTCCAGTGTCTTATTAACAAGATGTCTCTACACAAAGGATTTTGTGCTCGCGTTCTCTTTTTGGTAACTCCATCCGTTTCAAATGAATTGTCATGTTAGAAGTCTTAGTTTCAGATTATGTAAGGCTTAGAAAGTCAAGAAAGCATTATTTTTGTCTTTTTTTTTTAACTTTCTTTTGGGATTTGCACTATTTGGAATTAGAGGCAGCCTTGACAAAGTTAAGGGCTTGGCCATAGCAAATGAAAATAGTGTCTGGGAATCAAAAAGGTGAATTGGGATTTGGGATTGTAGAGGGTGTGAGTTTCAACCTCTATCGGTGAAATCTGAACAAGGATTAAATGACTGGAGGAGTTTTGCTATACTCACTTGATTTGATTACTGAACTTGGATCCCCAATACTTAGTAGAGGGGGCTTGTAATTTTCTAACCATTCAAATTGAATTGAAAGGTGATACAATAATATGAAGTTATATTTCTCTAAAGTTGTAGATATTTGATAACTTTCTTAATCATTGTGCAGAGCTTTAAAAATGATCATTTTGAATGGAGGGAGTAGTTTTATTTATTTATTTCGGGCTTTCTCTAATATGAGGGTTGCACTATGTTATTATTAACAGAGATTGAAAATGTGTTACTGCATGTGCATGTATTTCATCTTAATCTCGAGCATCTATTTTCTAATAAATGGTTATGGTTTTGTAATTTTCTCTCAAGCATATTTATCACTTCATTTAGAGAAGCCAAACTTGGTTGCATGATAATCTGTGTTAAAAAAACTAATTTCAAGTCTAAATACAAGTTTCAATTTATTGTGATTTTCTTGTTTAGTTAATGAACTACTTTTCTTCTATTGCCAAAGAAGAACATGTACCTTAGAATATTGCTTTGAAGGGTTTAGCTGTCGAATAGCTGTCGAATAGCTGTCAAAAACATAAATGGGAATGTGTAATGTTTGTTATTTGAAATGTAAACTACAGAGTTACTCTGTTAATTGAACTGTAATGATTTAGACAGATTTTTCTTTCTTTGCAAATGTAGGACGGTCGAAACATGAGCTGCACCCCTTCATGCATCTGAAACATGAAGTGTCTTCCGCACTAGAATGAAAATAATAATGTTTTTGTTGGATTTAAAGGGATATGAGCTGTTGAAAAATATAAGATTTCTATTTGATAAATCTATGATTTCTACCAACTATTGATATGCTGCTTTGGTTTTTGTTGCAGGTAACTTTTCTCTTCCACTTGCTTCGCTGCTCTTCAAGACATTGACTAAGCCATCTGAGGCATATTATGATGCCAAAAACCTGCCACATGTTCTTGTGAGTACAAAAATATGTTTTGTGTGAATCTTGCAGGCTGCTAGGTATGCGTAGCTTGGACCAAATGGTAGTCAAGGAAGGATCATGGTCCTAGCATGGAAGTTTAACACAAAATCACTTAACACTAAGGACTTTCATGAATTTTGTAGAATATTGTAATATTTTTTGTAATTCTCTCAAGTTGTAGCAAACCAATGTAAATATTAAAATGAAATTTGGCCTTTGATGATATTTGAATTTTTCTTGTTTATTGGTAAAATTTGCACTTCTTTTTACCTTTGATCACATTTTTTTGATATTATTGATGATTATTTGATATTAAATGTTTTTATTGTAATTAACTTTATTATGTTGAAAAGTGATAGAAAATAAAATAAAAATACTATAAATAAAAAAATATTAAAGTAAATAATAATTTAAATATAATAGTAAAATATTATAGTAAAATAATATTATATTTAAAATTATTTTACTAAATAATAATTTAAATAAAAATATTATTTGAAATTTATAAATCAGATTACGACGGTTAAAACCGCCGCAATTTCTAACCTACGGCGGTAGAATAACCGTCGCAAACAACAACAAAAACAAAAAATAAAGTCAAATTCACGACGGTATATAACCGTCGCTATCTGTTGTGCGTGACAGTTTTTGCAACCGTCGCGAAATAGGCTGGGGACGCACGATTCTGCGACGGTACTTCTACCGTCGTAGATTGTAAATTGCGACGGTTTTAACCGTCGTAATCAGCCAAAATAACCGTCCCAATCTATCATTTTTCTTGTAGTGTATATATATATATATATATATATATATATATATATATATATATATATATATATATATATATATATATATATATATATATATATATATATATATATATATATATATATATATATATATATATATATATATATATATTGATCCACCATTAGAACAATGCATTATGTTTTAGGAAGTGTCATAAGTTATTTTCATAGTGACATTGGTGTATGTTCCTCTTTGACTTGGAACCAATATGTCTCTACATGAGGAGTTTATGAGTTTAGTTTCATCAAATGTTGATTGTAACGAGACAATTATAAAGTTAGTTAGCTGGATACTCGATAGGTCATGTGGAAGGACATGAGTCATCTAGATGAGATTCACTTCTCATACATATGCATGAGTGTAGAAAAAGTATTTTTCATATATTTCAAAATTATATGCACAATTGGAGAATAAACTAGCTTAAGTCCATGTACAATTGGAGAATTTTCTCTTATACAGTTGCCTTCAAGGATATATGCTAGAGGATCTTGTGTGTTAGTATAAGTTATAGAGGCTAATGATTTTATGTTTGAACTTAAAACTTATAGCATGTTATTTATTTATTTATAATAAAATGCGATTATTTATTATATTTATTTCAAAGTAATAAAGTTCATAGAACTATTAATCTATTTAATAGAAACATAATAAAATGTTTGAATAATACTACCAGAAAGAAAATATGTGGAAAATGAAAAGATATGGGAAAAGAGACGAAACCATAATTTATAGAGGTTTGGTCTAAATGAAGTGACCTAATTCTCTCCTTGAGACTTGATATTGAGAGTATCCAATAATGCTTATGAGTTTTTAGTAGGTTAAACTCATGAATTCTCTTATATAAGGAAAATGAAGTTTCAGGTTAACTTCCAACCAAATAGTGAATGAAGCTTTGAGCAGTTAGTTTCTAAGCTTAAACCCTAAGATTTTATACATATTAATATCAAACCAAGACAAAGTTTAAGTTGGATATCCTCCAAATGAAGTGATGGTTTTACACGGGCTAACCATGAATAAATTAAGATTTTACACCAGGATAATCTCGAACCGAGTTAAGCTTTTACACTATG